AGCGCCCCCCCCCCCCCGAATTTTTATTATCCAAGTGTATCCAAGTCATTGTTTGTGTGAAATGAAATGAAATATTGTTTAGTTAATGAATAGATAGGACTATAGTAATGAGCATCACTCCATTAAACACTATCTAATATCCATTACGTCTTTTTTTAGGACATGGAGGTGAACAATACAGCAGTAAATGTCACCATGAATAATGACCCCAATAACAACAATGCCAGCACCACCGAATCAGCCACAATAGGAAGTTTTGAACTCCCACGGTCCACTCTCATTAACCAGGATGTTAGTCTCCACCAGGCTTCGCTTCCCAGTTGCAGCCAGGACTTTCCCACACTCTTCAACCCCGAGCTGGATTCCACCGGGGTACAGCGGCCTACCTTAGTCAGGCTCTCTTCTAGCAACTCCTCCAACATCAATTCAACATTTGGAGCTACTAACTTGACCGGACTCTTTCTTCCACCACCTCTAAACAATACTACAAACCTAACCACCACTCCGGTGCTGCCAGATCCATTTTCCAGTCTGTTGGAAGAGTCTATGCTGGATGAAATTAGCCTGCTGGACCTTGCGATGGAAGAGGGTTTCAGCCAAGACCAGGCTTCTCAGCTTGAGGATGAGCTCGATTCCGACTCAGGTCTTTCACTGGACTCCAGCCATAGCCCAGCCTCACCTAGCAACTCAGAGACATCCTGCTCGTCAGCTGCATCATCTTCATCCACCTCTGCTACGTTCTCAGAGGAAGGAGCTGTGGGCTACAGCACCGATTCGGAGGCGGCCACAGCAGAAGCGGAGGAAGGAGCCGTCGGGGGCTACCAACCAGAGTATAGCAAGCTGTGCCGCATGAGCTACCAAGATCCATCTCAGTTCCATGGCATACCGCAGTTGGAAAATGTCAATCACAACCACACCTACAATCTTCCACTGGCATCATCCTACTCTGAGCGTTCTCAGCTGTCCGCATCCTGCAGCAAGAAAGGCAGAGACAAGCAAATGCAGCAGATGAAGCTCCAGCCACCACAAGACTGTGTTGACAGGCAGTCTAGCCGTGATGAACGTAGGGCGAGGGCCATGGACATCCCATTCTCCAATGACAAGATCATTAACCTCCCCGTCGAGGAGTTCAATGAGCTTCTGGCCAAGCACCATCTCAACGAGGACCAGCTCTCGCTCATTCGCGACATCCGCCGCCGCGGAAAGAACAAAATGGCGGCGCAAAACTGCCGTAAACGCAAGCTAGACACCATCCTGAAACTCGAGCAGGGCGTGCAAGACCTGCAACGCGAAAAAGCTCAGCTGCTGAAGGAGAAGATGGAGTACTGTAAGTGCATCAGACAGACGAAGCAGAAGGTTCAAAGTCTTTCCCAGGAATTGTTCGCACAGCTGCGGGACGAGGAAGGCAGACGCTACTCGGCCAGCGAATACTTTTTGCAGTACGGCCCTGATGGCGTTCTTCTCCTGTCTCGTAACATGACCACAGAACAAAGCAACAAGACCGACAAGAAGCAGAAGGACAAAAAGAAGTGAGGAACTCGAACTGTTGCCCTTTTATTTTTCGCGAAGGCACTACCATACAAAGTATTTCGAAAGGCAAAGGAAGCCTTTTTCTTTGAGACGATTCTAGCAAGGAAAAGAAAATTGCATCATTGGTTACTCTTCCTGCATTGGGTTTTCTTTGTTCCTTTTTGGTTCAGAAGTTTTCTCCTGAAAGCGGCATTAAAGCAGACGTGCTTTATGTAGTACTGATTTCTCATTGTTGTACAGAAAGATGCAAGCGAACGGGATACTTTCAGATGCCAACTGAAAGAACTGTCCAGAACGTGAGGTCATGGAGGACACCAACAAAATGTTCTTAATTGAAAGAACTGTTCGGTAATGCTCCCAAAAATGTAGTCGATGACAATAATACACCATACTAAGATGGCGTTGACCACGAGGATGCAAAAATTGTTACATTTTCAGCATTAGCGCATGCTGTGTGTTTGTGCGTACTTTGGGATTTCATTGGTGGATGAGAAGCAGAACCCCTGAGAGCTGGTAGAAGAAGAGTCTACTGAACGCTAGAAGTGAAGCCAAAAGAAACTACAGGCATGCCAATACTAACCAAAGGTTGTGTTGTTCCCATAACGAATCATACAGGTCACTCTTTGGATCCAAATTCACGTTTTCACTTAAAAAAAAAAAAAAAGAACAAGTTTGTTAGTCTCACTGGACCGCAAACCTGGAGGGTCAATGCCATTTACCAAGGAACTTGGACGGCGAAACGAATCGCGCTAATGAGTGAGTTGGAATTTAGCTTTGGCTTGATGAAAAGCATTACAGATGGAGGATGGATACACACTGCATTATTACTAATAAATCGGCTTCTGTACCCTTTTCAGCACTGTAAATCAACACTGTAGTTTGCCTATAAGCTTTTTTCATCTTCTGCTGGGGAAAGGGTCTCTCAGGCCTTTCTGTCAGCTTTTAATGTAACTCTCTCCCATGTGCATAAACTTTTTAATAAGCCATCAAGACACGGACACTTGAGTGGCATCAGTGCAGTTTGCTCCTGAATCATGTGATTGAGTCTGGTGTGTCTTGGTATACAGGATTAATTGAAACGAACCGAGTCGTTTGCTTTTAAAGTTCATAATGTTTAGCCTTTGTTGCAGGTCAAAATGCTCTGTTGCTACTGCAACTCATGCTAGTGGCTTTTGTCTGGTGCAGTGGAGGAACGTTAAGAGATGCTTTTGTTACAGTTGTACTGTCATTTGAAAAAGGAATTAAAATTCTCACCAAAATATACGAATAGTAGCAGGCATAGGTTGTTACTACATTTAAACTACAACTTCTCATTAGCTGCGTCAGTGTCTAAGCTTTGATGTGACGTGAACCTGACTTTTTTTCTTTTACCCAATACACTACTTTTAGTAAAAGTACCTTCATTGCTAATTGAGTGAAGCCATGAATGGTCTCCTGGCAAATTAAAGCAGTTAAGCTTGTGCCAATAACCAACTGGATCGTGCTTTACTGCAGCCTGAGGATACAGCTGACTTTATACACTGACATATCAATGAATGGGTAGAAAAAAACCGTAACACTGGTGTGAATGTCTAATTTACATGTTGTTCATCTTCATCCTCTTCTGTCAGTCTCTGTTGCTTCCATCTACACTGTTCATATAGCACCATGAGACACAGTCAGTGTCCGTTTTGGTGTGACATGAATAAATATGCAAGACATGGTAATTTTTTGTCTCAGAAATGGAAAAGAGACAATCTTTGTTACTGGTTACAAATACTTAGCATAGTTGGGGTAGAGATAATGAAAAAAGATGAGCGATTCGTTCACTTCGATGAACTTTGAATCCCTGTTACACTGTCATAACTACTTGCCATTAAGCACTGTTGTGTTTCGTTCGTCTTGTTCGGTTTGTAAATATTTTTGTGTTCTGTATGTCTCTTGTCCTAATTGCTTGGTTTAGCCAGGCCTTTTTGCACCTCCTTTGGATTTGCCTGTTCAGAGTATTCCTATATGATTTATGTTGAGAGATTTGCTGGCAATCTGGAATTGTTCTGTTATTAATTATAATAAACATTTGTTTCATTTCCTTGGTTTTCCTTTTTTTTAAGTTAGAAGATTTGTGATTATTATAAACGAATGGCAAAATAAATTGAATTAATAAAAATGTCAGAGGATTTGGTTATACTGTAAAAACTCTCCTGATAGCTATATAAATATGAATTATGTTGTCTTTATTGCTGGCGAAGCTCTATTTTTGCTTATATCAGCTTCAGTAATGCTTAGTAAAATGGTACTCTTTATGGGGTAACACTTTATTAAGTTCAGCTTAATTTGTGATTAACATTGCCGTTTTTACGGCATTAATCTAGGTCAGGGATGGGCAACTGGCGGCCCGCAGTGTCTTTTAGTACGGCCCGCTGGATCATATTAGACTCGGATGATCAATTTTAAAATTCGAATAGCAAGTCACGTAAAGATTGCTTTCAGTTTATGATGTTACTACTATCTCCAACCAAGAGAGGTCGCCATTTCCAGCCGCTCCCCTATTAATTTCAGCGTAGTAGGACGTGCACTCTAATGTAAACATTCATTAACATTAGCAAATAATAAATGAAAAACTGACATGAAAACAGTATTTTCAAGTCAAGATGGTAAACAGATTATCTTTTTACCAAGTTCAAGGGGATACCCATATGTTTGGAAATCTGTATTTTATTTAAATCGCCATCACACCCGAAAGTGAAACCTGCTGGCAGAGAACGAATTTGCTTTTTCAATAAGCCCGTCTGCTATTTTTGCTACATATTTTTAAATGTGAACCAGTGGATCTACAAAAAGCGAATGCATTATAAAAATCTAAACAATTAAGACACTAAGATATATTTATGTTATTTAATATAATAATTACTTGATAATAACGGTTTAAATTAATATAATAATTGATACTTTTGACTCATCCCTTTTCTTAAAAATTGTTTATAAAGTCTGAAATGTGAGGTGCAGAGCTTAAAAAGGTCTTTAAAGGTCTTAAATTTGATTTTAAAAATCCTGCAGATACCAGGTTATTTTATGGTACCATTTGGAATAACTTTTTAAAAAAAATTTTATTAAGCCCTTTTTAAAACAGATGATCTTTTTACCAAGTTAAAGGGGATACCCATATGTTTGGAAATCTGTATTTTATTTAAATCGCCATCACACCACTGCTCACAAACAACGGGGACGCCAGAGTTGCACTTGCCTCAAATTTCAAAGGTAAAATTCATAGTCAACAAAAGCCAAATGCATGACAAAAATGTTTGCACTGGACTATGTTCTTATTCGGGTTTCCGCGGGTCCTTAAAACGTCTTCAGTTAAATTGTTTACATTTAAGGCCATGCAAACTCTTAAATGGTACAAAAAGTCTAAATTATAAGAGGTCTTTGGGGACGGAAAGACAAGAATTGCTATATGGATTAATATGACGATTAAACTTCAAAAGGCTGTGATTTCACTGAATAAACTTGAGCGCTGCAGGTCAGCTTTGTGTACTGCGGTTACCGGGGAAACCACTATATGTGCAGTTCCGAAAGCGAAACCTGCTGGCAGAGAACGAATGAGCTTTTTCAATAAGCCCGTCTGCTATTTTTGCTACATATTTTTAAATGTGAACCAGTGGATCTACAAAAAGCGAATGCATTATAAAAATCTAAACAATTAAGACACTAAGATATATTTATGTTATTTAATATAATAATTACTTGATAATAACGGTTTAAATTAATATAATAATTGATACTTTTGACTAAGGTCTTAAATTTGATTTTAAAAATCCTGCAGATACCAGGTTATTTTATGGTACCATTTAGAATACAATTTTTTTTTAAATTAAGCCCTTTTTAACTGTCCTTTTAGGTTGTTTTGAGAATGTTCTGTAGGCTACTAATAAAAAAAGAACCTCTGTATATTTGTTTGTTGCAAATTTACAGACAGTGCAATTGAAATGTTTACATTGGCTTGTCGGGGTAATATTTCTGTCCACTGACAACAAAGTTTTCCTTCTGAATTAGCATAACTGCACAAGTTTTATACTTAATAAAATCTTTAAAAACAAATGACATTAGTTATACTTTCATTTCCTTCAATAAAAAGGAAATTGAGTAAAACGGTTTAAAAGGTGTGTGGACGTGGATTAGTAATCTGGCCCCTTGGTATAAAGGAGAAAAAATGCTGGCCCTCGTCACTATCAAAGTTGCCCATCCCTGATCTAGGTTAATATATATGAACATACTATTAATAAACTAGTTTTCACTGTTTATTTATGTTTAATGTTTGAAATATAAACTACCTTTCAAAAGTTTGGGCTCAGTAAGAATTTTTAAGTCTCTTACGCTCACTTAAGTCTGCATTTATTTAATCAAAAACCGTAATAATGTGAAATATTCCAATTTAAAAAAAATATATTTTAAAATGTAATTTATTTGTTACATGATCCTTCAGAAGATTTTTTATCCTTTTTTTTTGTCATCACGTAATCCTTTAGTAGTGCTCTAGGAGTGCCCAAGAAACATTTCTTATTATCAATGTCGAAAATGGTTGTGCTGTGTAATATTTTAAGAGAATATAATGAATATAGTTCAAAAGAACAGCATTTATTTGAGACAGAAATCCTTTGTAATATTCTAAATGCCTTTACTTTTGATTAATTTAATTAATCTTTGCTGAATACAAATTCCTTAAAAAAAAAAAAAACTTGCTGACCCCAAACTTTCAAATAGTAGTGCAATAAAAATGCTAAATTAAATAATTTTAAAATAAAAACAAAATAAACACGAACAAAGATGATTTTTTTTTTGCTGGAGGTCAGAGAATGAACATGCTTAGTTTTGAAAATCTTTAAATTATTAAAATATTAACTTCAAAATTTCAGGGGGTAATTTCATGTCAAAGAGGTTCAGCCGACAAAAAAAAAAAAAAGAGACTCCCTATATAAGTATTGACCATTGACCTTACTCCGAGTATAAGCATAAATAAGTATGACCGGTTTTGACAGAAATACAACAAAGATTTTTATTTTTGAAAATGGTATTTCATTGGCAAATGCTCTGATAATATGCAATAATAATATGGTTAAACAAAACTAGCATACAATCGTTAAAGCTCAGAACATAAAAACGTACTACAGGAGAACAAATATTACAGTTCTTCTACTTTGCAGTGTGACAGTAATAAGACAAAGAGTATCAAAGTAAAAACCAATCCTTAGCTGACTGTACAGTGATACTGATGTGCTAGGAAATGGCAAACCTATTTACAAACACAAATGTCAAGAAAGACTGTTAATATCCAATGGGGCTGACTCACAAATAGCACCTATGGTGAGGCCAGACACGTCATGGGCAAACAAACACTGAAGAGTAACAGCTGCTGGCATGTCTTTATAAAACCAATCGTATCAAAGCCAGTTCCGAACGTCAGATAAGGCCTATATCTTACACCTCTTTTACCATGGGGCTAGATACAGTCATGCGTTCAATGACCACCTGCTTTGACAGATGTATAAAATATTCGCCTCCTTGGCTGGTACTAGATCAGCTTCATCAGAGTTTTTCCTGTAATATAAAAATACAAAAGAAGACATTAACAACTAATTGGCTATTTCTCATCCGAGATGGGTTTCTTGAGTAGAGAAAACTGAGGGCAACTGTAACATTTACATTTCCTTCAACTCACAGACAACTCAAAATACACCAAGCCATCTTTCGTTATATGTGCCAAAAATAACAGTTCCAGTAAATCTAATATTAATATACTGTAAACATGATAATACTATAATTCCATATCAGATGTTAATAACATCACAATTGTCCCCATTATGGAGGTGATTGCAAGGGTATGACTACATTTCAGGCATGTGACATTGATTTGGTCCTGGCAATGAATTTTGGCAACAGGATATGATTTAATCTGTTTTTAATAAATAATTCCAAAGCTTTCCCTCAACACTGCAAATCATACGGCTGTATGAATGTGCAGGTCAGAGTTCACCAAACTTGAACTTTAGTATCCAGAGGAAGATGAAGCTTGCATTTCCACTCTCTCGCGTTCATATGCGTATGAATGGAAGTGAATGGAGTCTTATGTGGCCACACTTAAAAGGGATAGTTCATATTAAAAATGAAAATTCTGTCATGATTTAATCACCCTCATGTCATTCCAAACCTGTAAAAAAAAAAAAAAGATACTCCGAAAATGGCCTCACTATAGCTCCTTTTGTGTTCCACAGAACATGAAGGGGAGTAAATGACAGAATTTTTATTTTTAGACGAAATACCCCTTTAACAGTGAATGGGGGCAATTGTAATGCTTGAAAAATAAACCATTTTACAGCAATATAGCAAAAATATAGCAAGCAGTAATGGCAAGGTCAATGCATAAATTTGTATGCCGCATAAACCATGTATACCTTAAATATACAGTTTGCTTGCGTATTTAACATATTGCGTATTTATGTCTCTTATGCACACCAAGGCAGCATTTATTTAATCAAAAATACAGTAAAAAAAATACTTATTTATAAATATATAAATGTTTTCAATTATCATATAATTTAATCTTTTTATCATGTCAAAAATATAGCAAGCAGTAATGGCAAGGTCAATGCATAAATTTGTATGCCGCATAAACCATGTATACCTTAAATATACAGTTTGCTTGCGTATTTAACATATTGCGTATTTATGTCTCTTATGCACACCAAGGCAGCATTTATTTAATCAAAAATACAGTAAAAAAATACTTATTTATAAATATATAAATGTTTTCAATTATCATATCATTTAATCTTTTTATCATGTAATGTATTCCTATGATGGTAAAGCTGAATTTTCAGCAGCAATTACTTCAGTCTTCAGCGTCACGTGATTCTTGTTATCCGAATATGCTGGTTTGGTGCTCAAGAAACATTTCTTATTATTATCAATATTGAAAATATTGGACGTTTCAAAGACCAGCATTTATTTCAAATAGTAATCTTTTGTAACATTATAAATGTCTTGCCATTTAAGTAATTTTTGCTGAATAAAAGAATTAATTTCTTTCAACAAAAATAAATAAATGTTACTGACCCCAAACATTTAAACAATAGTAAAATAATATTTCTTACACATTTTCACTGTAGTGTTACAATTACACCGACCCAAGAAGTGATAAAATGTTGCATAGTAGCTACCAGTTAAAATGTTGAAATTTCTCATTCTCGTTAACTTTTAACCAGTTGATAGATATTAGTTTCAATATGAACAGTGTTGGGGAAAGTTACTTTTAAAAGTAATGCATTACAATATTGCATTACTCCCTAAAAAAGTAACCAATTACGTTAGTTACTTTTTATGGAAAGTAATGTGTTACGTTACTTTTGAGTTACTTTTTAAATCTGGGCAGGGCTTGCTTGTTTGTTTTTAATATAAAAAAGTTCTTCTTTTACACATGTAAAAGCCCTTTTCACAACAAAAGTGAAATGAATACGCTTCAGGCTGAAGGAAATGTAAATTCACGTCTGTACAGTAGAGGGCGCAGCTCAAACAAACTGCATGAAGAATATGACGCAGGAGAAAAAGCGAGATGCTAACGGTCTAATCAGATTCAATGATCTATGTTAAGCTACAGCTAAAAGTGCTGCCAGACCTGAAGATCGGCTGAATAGATTCGAAAACGGTAAAACTCAACTTAATCCCGATTTCTCTCAACATGGCAACACGAGAGCTGTCAGTCAATACATGGGAAACATAAAACTAGCGTTACTTACTTACTTGAAAAAGTAACTCAGATATTTCCTTCTAAATTAAAAAATAATGCATTAATTTACTAGTTACTTGAAAAAAGTAATCTGATTACGTAACTTGCATTACTTGTAATGCGTTACCCCCAACACTGAATATGAAGGCATCAAAACTTTAGAAAGCAAAAGTCAAAAATACAAATCATGCTTTCCTTTCATAAGAGTGTTACAATTGCCCCCAGTCTCTCCTAATGCTGCTCAGGAACTGTCTCTCTAATCCAAAACTTGTTTGTTTTTTTACGGGTAACAATTTCCATACAAACCATTTCATGAGGAACATGAGTTCTCCACTTGAGTCTGTAGCACCAATAATCCTCTCAGGATCCAAACCACGTGCAAAACCTCTGAGTTTCTCAGGCTAAATTAAGAGAGATGGCATGTAAGACACTGTTTAGCCCATTCAATCTATTTTGGTTTTCTAATGTTTTAAAGACACTTCCTGACCAGCTTATAGACATGGAATGATGTAGTCATCTCAGATTCTCAGATCTTTATGGCTCTTACCTCATCCTTGCGCTTTTTGGTCTCCTTTCCATCTCCGTCTGACTCGGCCCGCCTCTTGCCTCCAGATTCAGCCGATTTCTGTGACTTAAGGAATTCTGCTATGAGGTCAGGACAGTCTAGGTTGTCCTCTGGTTCCCAGGTGTTGTCCCCGCTGAGGAAAATAAATAAATAAACACCAGGATTTTCACACAAAATCAAGTTGAAATCTAACTGCGGCTGCTCACTCAGAAAAGCCTTTCCACTTGAGGAGATACTCCACTCTTCCCTTCACCACACGCCGATCCAGGACCTTCTCCACAACATACTCCTCTTCTACTTCCTCCACCACTTCCTCCACTTTCTTTTTGTTCTGTTTCTTCCCTGCTGCTGATTGCTTGGTTTCAGATTGAGTAACTGGAGCTGGATACATGAATGGTGGGTGGAAAATACATAAACATACAAGTTGACCTAAATCATTTTTGAGTTTATGTCAAAATACCACAGTTGCAACAGTTGTTGTTTCTACAGCAAAATATGGGTAACTTGATACCAGCAACTATTGCCATAAAAAATTCAAGGGACAGTTTACTCAAAATAAAACTTCAGCCATTATTTACTATTTCATTATTTTTATTAGGACGAAAGTTAGAGGCTGTCCACATAATTCGCTTTCATGTAATATTTTTCCATACAATAAAAATGAAGAAGGCTGTCGTCCTCCATAACAACTAATTTTGTGTTCCACAGAAGAAAATAAGCCGTACGGGTTTGAAACAACATGAGGGTGAATAAATAAAGGGCAGTGCTGGGTAGACACATGTAATTTGGATTACATAATCAGAATCCAAAAATTGTATTTGTAATTAGATTAAATTACATTTTAAAAAGCTTATAATCAAATTTAAACTAGTTTTTATGGATTACATGATTACATATTCACACATTACTTTGACATAAAATATTTAAATAGACCCCCTGTGATTTAAAGTTAATATTTCAATATTATTAATATTTATTAATAATATTATTCATATTTAATATATTCATATTTCAATACGTTTTCTGAGGTCAGTCAGTCAATGGTCATCACACTGCGATGCAGGTAATAAATATTAAAATATTTCTATTTTAAAGTATCTTTTTTTTCTCACTTTTTTTACATTTTTAATAGTATTTCTTTAAATTTACATTTTGATTCTTCAATAAATTAGCTTTTCATCAGCTAACAAACCCCTTGCAGTTCCTTCACAAACTCCAGTTTGGTAAAACCTGATGTTCAATTCATATATTCATATATATATATTGATTTTTTTTTTCTTCAACATGTTACAAAACAGTCCCATTCAAATATATGTGATAAACGAGATAGTAATCTAAAAGTAACCAAAAAGTAATAAAACTACATTATTTTCAGGCAATCTGTAGTCAGTAACGACCTACAATTTGCAAGTAATCTACACAGCACTGATAACAGGTGTACTATCCCTTTAAACAAAAAAAGATTACGAACGATTCGTATAAATTCGGATGAGATGTCATATCAATTTTCCATGGTTTTATAGCAAATAATAACTGTAACTATGGTATTTTGACGAATTTTGTTTGTTTCCATTGCAAACTAATACAAAAAAAAAATCCAAACCTTCAGTCACAGCAGCATCGTCTGAAGGCTCTGACGTTTGGCTCATATTTCCAAGGGTTCTTAACAGCTGGAAATATATATATAGATCCTTATAAATACAGATAAAACAAATAAAAATATATATATTTTCTGAGATATATCGATCACAAATTTCGTAAGCGCACTACACTCATAATTTCATCTGAACGTGTGTTGGTTTACCTAAGGGATGCAGCTGTACTACACATCTGCATGCATAATATGACAAACACTAGGACTGTCTGTTATGCATTTGCGACGGCAGGCCAGCGCGAGCGACAAAACCCATTCTGAATAAATGCATTGCATGCTTCACGTGCTGTGCTCGATGGGATGGATAGAGCAGGACGCCGCTGTTTTACTGTATTTTATTCCTCCATGTTGTTTTAGGGAGCGCAAGCACGCTATTCGATGTCTGCTGTGGTCAAAACATCTTGCATCCTTGCCGCAGCACGTTTGATCGCTGCGATTTTACCACAACAAACACTACGTGCACGAGCCCGTAAATCGGCGGCACGCCGAAACAAACGCACTTACTTGTATCTCGCTGAGATAAAGATGAAATAAAGCTGATCTGCATGTATTTAAATCCGAAATGAATAGGTTGCAGTGATTAATTACAGACGTCTACTGTGCTGTGATGCTGCTGAATGTGGCTGTTATTCACGCCCACTTCCGTATTAGAAAGGAGACAAAACGGTGACTTCCGGTGTAATTATCTCTATGGTTTCTTTCATCATAAAAGTGGATTTGCTTTATTAGATATTCTGGAGGATGGAAATATGACTGGTGTTACGCGATACTGGTCTTACAGCCTAATATCTACTACTTTCTCCATTGAAATCCTCCTCTCCTCTTAGTCCTTTCTCTCCCGTGTTGCTTCAAGCAGATGTGTGAGCCATCTTTACACAGCCGAGATGCAGCATCTGTGCCGCTTTTGCAGATGTTCTTTCATGAATTTCAGAGGGGAATGTGTGAAAATGTGGGCTGCCGTACACTGCCATGCAATGACACATGCTGCATTAAAGCCATACTAAAATGCAGCTCTGATCGCTTTGCTTTCAGGTGAATTATGCAGCATTGAAACTTAATTGTTGCCAGTATCAAGTTTCAATGTCCATAGCATCTGTATGTATGTGTAAATACACCTTTTCATGGTATATATTTAGCTTCTGTCTAGTATTTGTAGAGGTCATAAGCAAATAAACAAATATGTCCAGGTCAGGGGTCTACTTGTAATTTTCTCTGTTAATCAAAGCAGTGTTGGGGCAAGTTACTCTGAAAATGTCATTAAATGACTGATTACTCCTTTTAAAAATAATCACGTTACTGTTCTGATTACTTTATTTCAAAAGTAGTTAGTAATTAGTTACATTACTAGTTACGTTACTTTTTTCTCTCCATGAAATTCATGAAATCCCAGCATACACGCTCCGGATAAATATTTGTTATTAAAGCATCAACATTCACAGAACACTGTTGTTTTTAACTAAAGCAAGCATAGGCTTCTGCGTACATGTTTGGCATGGCAGAATGCCAGCAAAGAGCGCTGCATTTATAATCTCTAAAAGACATCTCAGTTCATCGCAATCTCACAAATCTCTGTTATAACACAATAATATATGCATAATGAATCTTTCATAATGTCTACAATTCGTGTGTTATAATGAGAGGATTCGTGAGCACGCCAATTTCAGCACTGCATTGCTCAACGCTGCAAACATCTGTTATAGCCTAAATAGAAACTCTGCATACGCTTGCACCTGTTAATCGTTTATATTTTATATTTTATATATATAATAGATGAATAACAGTTCATTTGTTTTAGATATTTTATGTTTAGATATTTCTATTTTGCGGGAGTCCCGTGAATCATTATCAAGTCTTGTCCCGTTTAATCGTTCATAATGTCTACAATTCGTGTGTTATAATGAGAGGATTCGTGAGCACGCCAATTTCAGCACTGCATTGCTCAACGCTGCAAACATCACTATACTCTAATTACTATTTTGAAAATTATAACGCGTTAAATTACTCCGTTACTAAAAAAGTAATCAAATTACAGTAACGCGTTACTAAGTAATGCGTTACTGCCCAATACGGATCAAAAGTAAGTAAATAAATAAACGGAGAAAAGACAAAATAAATAAACTTATGAAAAGACAATGTTATGTAGGTTATTTCAAGCTCATTGAAGTGAGTGTGCTGCCCATAGTCAAGCCAGCATAGTGACAGAACAATCACTGAGAGAATGAAAAGCACAGAAACAAGGACCCAATCTGTCCATCCCATCAGACGATGGGCTTTGCACTTTGATTGGTACTGTTTATATCTTGCTGCTGTTTATATCAATTATTATTAAATTTAATTAATATTTAAATTATTGATTATTTTAATAATTTTAATAGTTTAGTGTATTTCCTTCAGCTGTTACTGATTTTGCATTAATTGTCTATCAATAGTGCTATTTACTTAGGAGCATTTGCATTTTCAATTGACCAAAGTGTTTAGAAAGCAGCTGATGTAGTATTTAAGACTTACCAACTCATAAATACAATCTTCCTAGGAGGACTATAAGTTGTATTCAGCTGGTCATGGGATCTCAGCATGACAGGCCCCATGAAGTGACCAACTTTATGTAAAGTAAAACAGCGTTTATTTGCCTGACTTGATTGGAGTCTGACCATATTTTTCAAAATGATTATTCATGTTTTATATGTAAAAACTTTTTGTTCTATATCTGTTGCCACATCTTGTTACATTTCCTTTGGTAAAACCAGAGCGAAGAAATGACTCAATAAATAGGTTGTGCTAGTACCCGCTCCATCCTATAGGTGGCAGTGATGAACAACGACAGTACAGCATCTGTGCTTTACAAGGCAGAGAAGACCACGGATTTAGTCTGGAGGAGCTGAACACGCAGCGCCAGGTGGAGCCTGGGGAGAAGGAATGGGATGGAGCATCGAATAATTATTTAAGTAGGAATATTTGTGTATATACGTGTGTAAGAACAGGAAAAGCAAAAACAAGGAATAAATTGATAATAAATAAACCATGACTGCATAACAGCAAAAGTAGGTGGCGATATGCACACAGGATGTAACACGCCAAAAAACGGAAGAAGAAGAAGAAGGCAGAGAAGTGCGAGTCGACGAGGGTGTTGTTGACATTCCCAGGAGCCCTACAAAAAATTTCTGCAGTGCTATGGCAGTATTGTCAGTGGCCTCAAATTCATGTTTTCAGCCGGACAGGTGAAAACACTGAGCCGTCAGATGACTGTGCACTTCGGTTGATTTTGTGGAAGTGGTTGTGAGTACACTTTAGGCTTTTCGGGGTTGGGACAGGAACAGAATACGAGGTCATTGGTCGCAACAGCTCATTTCTCAGAACAGACTGTTTTCAGTTATTGCTACTCTGTGCTGTTATTTCATGTAAGTGGGTATTACGCTTATCAGTCTGCAAGCATGTGGTTTAACCTTTCGATGCATGCATTTTTAAATAATTAAACAATTACATTATTATAAATAACAGTTTCTTAATCAAAATATTACTATGTCTATATATGCTATTATATTACTTCTTTTAAAAAATAATGTATTTTGAGAGGGTTACACATTTGTCCACTGTAGTTCCCTATGTTTTTAGGGTTGTAATGTATATAAATGGCAACTAATGTGAAATCATGTCCGTTATATCAATTAACTTCGTTATAGCAACTAATTTAAAACATTTATTACGAACATGTAAAACAACGTGCTATTACGACAAATATTAACATTATTAATTAATTTTTATTAGTATTATTAATAGTATTAATTATTATTGTCATTAATAATAGTAATAACAATAATGCTTAATAAATATTTTAGATCTAATAAATCTTAATAAATATTTAGTAGATCTTAATGGAAACCCCCAAAGGAATACACTTTTTTTTTTTTTTTGAAGATAAACTAAGAACATTTTAAAAATGTGCTTCACCGCTTTCAGATCATGTTGAATTTTTGTTGCCATTAAAATGGGCATTGAGAGAGAATTATTCAGCTTCAGGTAAACAGCTGTGGTGGTTTAGATGTAATATCACACCCTGAAATGGCTTTTAAGTGTAGTGGGACATTGTGCATTAGAGGAATATGATAGCACAAGCATGACTGATTGATTGGTTGATTGGGCAATCAAGATATGTAATACACAAGAAGAAAACATGTATCTCTTCTCTTCACTCATTCAAATCAAAGTAAATAAATGTGTCTGGTTTAGGTTATCAGTATGACTCGTGATATCATTCTTGGAGATGAACTGCCCGACTGGGTCGGTGCGAAAGAGTTTTATCAGAAGTATGATCCCAAAGAGGTGATTGGGAGGTGAGTATTTGTTTGATTCAGCAAGTGTTTTGGTGTCACTTTTTGAGATATCTTGTAACTGAACTGTCCCCTGTGCAGAGGTGTGAGCAGTGTGGTGCGCAGATGTGTACACAAACACACAGGGCAGGAGTTTGCAGTGAAGATCATTGAGATCACTGCAGAGAAAATGACGGAACAGCAGTTAGAGGAGGTGAAGAGCTCCACACTGAAGGAGATCCATGTGCTCAATGTGGTGAAGGGCCACCCGTCCATCAGTGAGTCTGAAATGTACTGCTAATGTTTAAACATCTGTTCAAACCTTTCTGAATAGTAACTGACCTTATCTGTGCTCCTTTTTCAGTCACACTTATTGATTCTTATGAGTCAACAACCTTCATATTTTTGGTATTTGACCTGTAAGTATATATATTATTTTATGTTATATTATTATGAAAAGTTTGGGGTCGGTAATATATTTTTTTTAATTAAAGAAATAAAAGGATATTAATACTTTTATTCATCAAGGACGCATTAAATTGATCAAAAGTGACGGTAAAAACAATTATAATGTTTCAGAAGATTTGCATTTTAAATAAATGTTCTATAAACTTCTGAAGAAGAATCCTGAAAAAAAAAATCTATCACAGTTTCTTGAAAGATATCAACATTGATAATCTTAGAATATTAGAATGATACTGAAGTGATACTGAAGACTGGAGTAATGGCTGCTGAAAATTCAGCTTTGCCATCATAAAAATAAATTACATTTTTCAATATATTAAACTAGAAAATTGTTATTCTAAATTGTAATAATATTTAACTATATTTAAATATGTTTTTACTGAAATTGATCAAATAAATGCAGCCTTGGTAAGCATAATCTTAGCAAGCCCAAACATTTAAACAGTAGTGTATATGTTGTAATTTCACACACATCTTTTCATACAGCATGAGGAGAGGAGAGCTATTCGATTACTTGACTGAAAAAGTCACTCTCAGTGAAAAGGAAACCAGGTGAGGTTTAAATTTATTCTCAGATCTTGCTTCAAGTTTCTATGGTGGCAAATTGTTCTCCTCATACCATAATTAGCCACAAATATTTCCTGCAAAACTCTTCTCGCTTTTAGGAGTATGATGCGTGCTCTTCTGGAGGCTGTCCAGTATCTACATTCTCTAAATATTGTACATCGTGACCTCAAACCTGAAAATATTCTGTTGGACGACCAGGGACACATCAAACTTTCTGACTTTGGCTTTTCAGTCCTGCTGGGGCCTGATGAAAAACTAAGAGGTGAGAAAATCAACCCTGTCCTTCCACAGCGGCAAATCAAAACAGATTCTCATACTTTTTAAAATTGAACAACATACAATGTTTTTACACTGGTCTTTGTCCATTTCCTTTGTTAGAGTTGTGTGGAACACCAGGATATCTGGCACCAGAGATTCTGAAGTGCTCCATGGATGAGACACATGACGGATATGGGAAAGAGGTTGACCTGTGAGTTTTGCTATTAAACCTTAATAAACCTTTCTTGGGGTCACAAAAGCTTTGTACTGCAGTTGGTTCATCATTTGCTCCATGTTTTTCCACAGGTGGGCTTGTGGTGTGATCATGTTCACGCTTCTTGCTGGTTCTCCACCATTCTGGCATCGCAAACAGCTGCTGATGCTGAGAATGATCATGGAAGGCCGGTACCAGTTTAGCTCTCCAGAGTGGGATGACCGGTCTGACACCGTCAAAGACTTGGTGAGATTCTCTTAGCATTCTCTTAGCCTGTAGCATATAGGCGAACTGCTAGCATTGAGAAATGTAACCATATGTGCATTCTCTTAAATACAGAGGCGGACAAAGTACACAACTCCATTACTTGAGTGAAAGTACAGATACTGCTGGTCAAATATTACTCCATTACAAGTGAAAGTTGAAAAGACAGATTTTTACTTAAGTAAAGGGTTAGTTCACCCAAAAATGAAAATTCTGTCATTAATTACTCACCCTCGTGTTGTGAGTACATGTGGACGCGCGTTCACGACAGTATCATGACGCGAGCGCGTGACCCAGATCCCAGAGAACCCTCAGATTTCCTCAAAAAAATCTTTAAATTGTGTTCCGAAGATGAACTAAGGTCTTACGGGTTTGGAACAACACGAAGGTGAGTAATTAATGACAGAATTTTCATTTTTGGGTGAACCCTTTAAGTAAAAGTACTTAAGTTTATGTCAATGCACTGTTTTATTATTCTTGTATGTAATACTTGCAATACCTTATGCCTCTGAAGCAACTTACAATATATTACACCTGAATACACTGACTAACCTGTAGTATCTTTGGAGTAAAGAGCTTTTAGAGTGTTAAAAACGGAAATGTAGAATGTTAGAAATGAAACGAGTTGACAAAAAAAAAACACATTTATTTAACAAGCCTACCCACCCCGACAAAAGCAGCATGGTCGTGGTCTCATACAGCTCTAGCGGTGTGTGCACACATCTACATGTAGCCATTCATCCACATTTGAACTGAGTTGACAGTGAAATTGCGGTAAATACAGACTGATAAGAAAAAAATTAAAACCCAGCAACACAGCTGTAGCTGTATAACTTTACAAAAACAACACTGCTTTAACAAAAAAGCAAAACAGCAAGATTTATTTGATGACATCACTCTCGCAGTACTTTGATGTCATACACAGAACAGTCTGTGCACTGCTACTTCAAGTCAAACACCGTCACCTACTGTGCGTTGTTAGGAGACGCACAACTGTTGTTCTGTGGATTTATAGGTAATATTTTCATTTACACAATTTTGCAAAATCAATACAATATTGTGTCTAATATATACCACAATATTAACTTCTTATTATTGAATTGTTATAAATAAATATCACATTTGCAACTAGTCAATGTTCAAAAATGCTGGAAAATCACTTCACGTAACCCTAAAAGAAAAATTACCGATAGGCTGTCAAAAAAAATCACATTTTAAAGAAGAAAAAAAAGCACCCATTGACTTTCAAAGCTGCTAACCACTTTCTACTTCGAGGACCTTGATAGAAATGTAGTGGAGTGAAAAATACGATATTTGTCTTTCAAATGTAGTGAAGTTAAAGTCATAGGTTTCCAGAAGAAATAATACTCAAGTAAAGTACAGTTACTCAGAAAGTGTACTTAAGTGCAATACTCAATCAAATGTACTTCATTACTGTCCACCTCTGCTTGAATACACTTAGATCTCCAGGCTTTTAGTGGTGGAACCCACAGTTCGTCTAACGGCTGAGCAAGCTTTAGCTCATCCTTTCTTCCGTCAGTACCAAAAGGAGGATGTGCGGCTCTTTAGCCCCAGGAAGACATTTAAGGTGCGTGTTTGTTTGGTTTTTCATTTATATAAACTACCTGTGAGGTAGACTAGTGTGGGTGCTGGTGGAAACTGAGCAGACATAAGTCGTCCGGTCAGAGATGAAGTACACTTTAATGAAGTCTTTGGGTATGACACAACAAGCTTTGCAAGCCTGGATTGGGGGATTTTCTGCCATTCTTCTTTGCAAATCCTCTCAAGCTTTGTCAGGTTGGATGGGGACCGTCGGTGGACAGCCATTTTTAGGTCTCTTCAGATATGTTCGATAAGGTTAAAGTCAGGGCTCTGGCTGGGCCACTCTAGGACACTCACAGTAGAGGTCGTCCGATTAATCGGGCCGATTTTTGGCATTTTTAATTAGTCCGGTCAGAGATGAAGTACACTTTAATGGTTTAAGACTTGTAGAGGTTTACAGTCCTTGAATTTGGTTGAGTGAATGATTGTAGTACAGGTAGCAGAGAGTATGGCAGAGTAGTTTGGAGTGTAGCTTAGTATGAGTGCTTTTGTGTATGAATGCATTTAAATGTTTTTGAAAGTCTCTTATGCTCACCAAGACTGCATTTATTTAAGAAATTACAGTAGCAGTAGTATTGTGAAATGTGATGTCAGTACTGTTTAATATTTTAAAATGTAATTTACATTTTCAGCAGCCATCTTGGTGCTCAAGAAACACTTTTTATTGTTATCAATGTTGGAACATATTTTTGTTAAAAATGTAACTTTTCTCAGGATTCTTTGATGAAAGAAAACGGCATTTATTTGAAATATCCTTGCTGAATAAAAGTATTAATTTCTTTTAAAAAAAATCATACTGACCCCAAACTTTTCGACAGTAGCATATGATTAATGACGGACCATCATTCTAAAGTGTTACCAAATTGTTTCCACTTGTCTTTACAGGGTTTTCTAAATTATTAAAAAATTATCTAAATCTAAAAAAAATAGCTTTTTTTTAAAATGTTTTTGTTTTAAAATCCTTAAATTATGTGTACCACTTGTTTCTTTTTATCACAGTCGATCAGACATTATCCATTTGTTTTTTTGTACACAACAGAAATGTCTAAAAAATGTTGATTAAAAAAAATGCTGTATTTTGTGTTTTTTTTTTTTTTTTAAATGAGTGGTTTCCAAAACTAAAGAAGTGGGACATTTTCTTACTTCTTAACTTGAATGTTGGTCTCCACTTTACTAATGGCATTATTTAGCTGATCAGCACTGTCCTGGAGCCGTTGTTGTAGCTGAGCAGTCAAACGCATCACTTCATCCGTCACTTCCTTTTGAACAATGGTCCTTAGCTCAGACTTTAGAGAAGACCCTTGTGTGAGGAAAAAAATATATAATATAAACATAAGCACATTTGTTGTATGTAGTGATTATTACATATTAAAGCATGCAGTCTGGCATTCAATAATATGTAATCACTTTTTTTTAATCTCTTCCACTTGTATTTACAGGTTTTCTAAATTACTAAAATAAATTCTAAATGAATAAAAAAAGTTTTTGTGTTTTGTGGAAGCTGGGCATACATGTATAATAATTTAATTTAAATTTCGCTCCTTTTTATTTTAATAATTTTATTTAAGATTTAATTATATTATGTTTTGAAAACAAATAATAAATTAAAAACATAAATTATGATATTTTTCATTAATAATTTGTCAAATGGGAGCTGGATGAAATTATTCATTGATTTGTATTAACAAAAATATATTTTAGAGCTAATACCTTGTGCAAGCTTGCAAATTTGTTTTTGGAGTTGTCTTATTTACTTCAAATTCAATTAAACCTGTTGTAACCCTGTTGATAAACTTTAATATATTAGTACCTTGTTCGAGACTGTCTGTCTCTGTAGCCGTCATTTCCAGTGCAGCACTTTGTTGAACTTCTCCATCCATTTCTGTCTCCCTCTCAGTTTCTCTTTTGCCATCTGCAACACTTTCTTTAAACAACAATTGACCATATATGCTTTCAATTATCAGTTGTATGCTACAGGTATATTTTATTTCATCAGATGTGCATTACTGTACCAGATTGGGCAGTTTCCTCTATATCTGTGTCCTCAGGTATTCCAATATATGACAAAGATATATCCAGCTGTACCTTTACCATGCAAGAGAAAGTGGTCATAAAGTTCATCATTAATTTTCCTGTTAACATAAATAAATACTTAATTTACGCACAGTATTTGGCCTGACAGATTCACAGCCTCATACATACCTCTGGGGTAAAAATGTATTTGTATAAAAAATAATGTCTCATATATGTGTTGATGAAATAGGACAAAATTTGTGTCACTTGCTCCGAGCTGAAAAGGTCAATACTGAAAGGAGGCCTCTGTGTTTAATGGGGAAAAGAACAAAAGAGGTTTGAGCACAAAAATGTCTATGCAGATATAAGATCTACACTACTGTTCAAAAGTTTGAGGTATGTACAATTTTTTTTTATGTTTTTGAAAGATATATTTTACGCTTTTGTTTGTTCAAAATACAGTAAAAACAGCAATATTTTAAAATATTACAATTTAAAATAACTGCTTTTAACTGATTTTAACATATTTTAAAATGTAATTCATACATAAGATGGAAAAACTGAATTTTACTTCAATCTTCACTGTTGCATGATCTTTCAGAAATTATTCTCATATGCTGATTTTGGTGCCCAAGAAACATTATTAGTATTATCAATGTTAAAAATGGTGATACTGCTTAATATGCTTAACAGATTTTATTTCAGGATTCTTTGATGAATAGAAAGTTTAAATGTGAACAGCATTTATTTGAAACAGAATGCTTTGTAACATTAGAAATGTATTTACTGTTATTTTTGATCAATTTGATTAAAATACGTCCTTGCTGAATATAAGTATTCATTTCGAACTAAATCTTACTAACCCAAAATGTTTGAACGGTAGTATATGTACATACCCTGACTGAATGGCAAAGCAGAAGTTCACTGCAGTAGGTCAAACAGTGATCTGTGTTATTGAGGGGCGTTTCTGAAAGGTTGACAAGAAAGAGTGTTTATATTTTCTTGTACAAAATTCTATACAGTTAACTCTTTATTAAGTACTTTATTAAGCAAGTTATGAGTACTATGGGTGCATTACCTGTGTTAAACTGATGTACGTTTTTGATCATAGAGATAAGTACAGACGTTTGTTCCCTGTTAAAATGTTGCTCTTTGCAGAACAACACAAGGTTTGTGTACAGCTCAAGTAGTACTCTCAGTTTCGGCTGAGCCACATCAGAGGCCAATAATGCACGGCACAAAATCCTAGAGGGGAAGCAGACAATGTGCATTCATGTAATACCTGCAAGTTCCTGAACATCATGCATCAATTATTATCAGGGTAGCATTTCTATAAAAGGGTCTAACAGATTCTTAAAAAATGTTATTTTGTCTAGCTTAAGCATTTGGGGGGGGTGTCCAACCAGACACGACGCGATAAAAAGTATCTTTTCCTTGTAGTTTTTGTCCTAACCACCCGCGACTGCGACACGTGGCAATAAGCGACATGGCATGGGATTCTATTTTAGGAACGGTTTTTATTTTCTGCAACGTCGCGGCAGGAGCAACATACAAAATATGACAGTGATAATCTCAGGTAATGATTATGTGCTTTATTCGATGTTAAAAGTGTCTAATGTGAGTTTGAATATTATTTTGCGTTATCTTTATAGCCATAGTGAAAGCAACAATAGATAATTTACCTCAGATCTTGAAAATAAATTAAAGCAAACTTGTACGTTAAAACTGTGAACTCACTGCGAACCAACACTGTATTCCATAACAAAGATATCAGTCACTCACTCAAAACTGTTCAGTCCATTCACATTTGAATCATCTATTTTCCATGTCCACTTTTCTTTTCTACACACTCGCCATGTTTTTGCTGCTTTCTGATGCTGCGTTTGAATTTTCATGCCACATTATTTGAAATTAGCGCAGGCCAAACTTTTTTTCTCTCACGGGCCGCCTATTGAGGAAACCTGGCTTAAATATTTCACAACACACTCGCATGGAAATTTGTAACTATTTTTCATTTTGTTGAATTAGTGGTGAATTTTTTATAAATTTGTATAATCAAGCTTGTAAGATTTTGTACGAAGTCCCACTGAGGGTTAGGTGCAGGGATAGACCTTCATTGGACCCTTCAACTTGTGACCATCAGGTTCTTGGTCACCAGTCTAGACAAGGCCCTTCTCCATCAATTGATTAGTTTGGCTGGGCGACCAGCTCTTGGAAGAATCCTGGTTGTGCCAAATATCTTCCATTTGAGAATTATGGAAGCCACTGTGCTCTTGGGAACCTTCAGTGCATCAGACATTTTTTTTGTAGCCTTCCCCAGATCTGTGCCTTGATACAATCCTGTCTCTGAGCTCTGCATGCAGTTCCTTTGACCTCATGGCTTGGTTTTCGCCCTGATATGCATTGTCAGCTGTGAGGCCTTATATTATACCAAATAATATATACAGTATCTCACAGAAGTGAGTACACCCCTCACATTTTTGTAAATATTTTATT